CGATTGACCTCGCTCTTTCTCGGACAAAAACGATATATCACCATGTTTGAGCCCAATTCGACCTATTCTACCTTGCTTCCTCCCACGCACAAACTATATCTACACGTCTGTGACTGGATCATCTCTCAAGCTCTATCTCACAGCCCTCACCCTTACCAAAATCTCAATCGGACAATATCTCTCCGGAGCATATATATTTGTTCAATGAATGTCGGACCACACTCACTTTGTCTCTCTATCTATATGTCTCTCGATTGACCTCGCTTCCTCATACCGTATCTTCCACGCGTTGAAGCTACTACCTCTCCATCCCTCGCAAAGCCGGAGCTATTTACATTGCGAGGGGCACTCCAACCTTGGATTAATTTGTGTAGGCATTTATTCCGGTCGGTTTAGATTATATTTCCGTAGCATTCGGCCCACAACTACTCCAAACACCGTTGCAACCCACGCAACTCCCCTAGTTGATTTCCCTCTGGCTCGGTCATCGCTCTCTCGCACGTCATTTCTCGCCTTCAACGTTGCACCATGGTATTATTGAAAAAACTATGTTGCCCTCTTTAATTATTATAAATAAGCTACAAAACTACACACCGATAGTCCACTTGGAATGGAACAAATTTCGACCCACAAATTAAAGTGCTACAAACTACACACCGAGGGGCCCACATGTCATGAAACAAATTTGGACCCATATACAAATTAAAAAATAAATGACGAGGATCGAACATGCGACCGGGCCTTCAAGGCGCACGTCAATAGGCAACATACGTAGAATAACAATATTTGTTGTACCCCCTTTGTTTACATAATGTTTTTATATTACCACAACCTAATTAATGAATAACATGTAATATTATTTTTAGTACTATTCGCCTTCACTTACTGGTGGGTTCCATGTGTGCTCTCTCTCTCTCCTCCCCTTTTGTGTTTAGATGCATAGGCAAACAGGAAGAACTCGCGGGTGATGTTGCCGTTGACCATATCTGGACGCGTTCACAAGTCACGGCACCAGTTTCACGTACTAGCAGCACTAGTCAGTGTGTACGTGCAATGCACGTTAATTTGAAAGTATATTAAGTGCATGCGGATATTAACTACTAGGATATTATTTGCGTGTTGTCATGTGATTAGCACTATTTTTGGCATGAAATTAACTGCACGCTAAACTGCACGTTAATTTTTTTTTTGAGGGCAAAGCAATAGATGAGACATAATTATGTCACATCTCAACTGATGTCCACTCTGTTTATGGTCTGTTTTTTTTTTTGTTTCTTGTTGTTGCATTATATATTTGTGAGAGCTTAGATGTGACATTCTTAAAAAACATGTAGATGTGAATTAGTCAAACTGTTTTTTTAATTACCCACTCAAAACAACCAACATACTTGGCTAAAAATAAATAAATAACCAACATATTTGCTAAATAAAAGAACCAACATATTATCTTCAGTTTACTTATTCAAGGGAGGCCGAGCGCTGTTACTTCTGGCCACGTCAGCTGCCAAGAAGTCAAAGCCTGGACAATGCGGTCAACGTGGCGGGCCGGGAGGGGTCGGGCTTCTTCTTGTCGGAATCTCTGGGCCTGAGCCCGCGTGCCCTCTCGCGCAGCGCGAGCTTCTGCACCTTGCCCGTGGCGTTCTTGGGCAGCTCGTCGACGAACACCACCTTCCTGGGCACCATGAAGTGCGCCATCTTACTCCGGCAGAAGGCCACCAGCTCCTCCTCGCTCACCTCGCCGGCGCCGGAGTCGAACTCCTTCTTCAGCGCGACGAAGGCGCACGGCGTCTCGCCCCAGTGCGGGTGCGGCATGGCGACCACCGCCGCCTCCTGCACCGCCGGGTGGCCGTACAGCGCCGCCTCCACCTCCACGCTGCTGATGTTCTCGCCGCCGGAGATGATCACGTCCTTGGACCGGTCCTTGATCTCCACGTACCCGTCCGGGTGCACCACGCCCACGTCGCCCGTCAGGAACCACCCGTCGCGGAACGCCGCGTCCGTGGCCTCCGGGTTCTTGTAGTACCCCTTCATCACGCTGCTCCCGCGCAGCACGATCTCGCCGAGGGTGGTGCCGTCGCGGGGCACGCTCGCCATGGTCTTGAGGTTCTTGACGTCGGCTCCGGCGAGGGAGATCGCGCTCACGCCCTGCCGCGCCTTGAGCGCAGCACGCTCCGGCGCCGGCAGCGCGTCCCATCGCTCCCGCCACTCGCAGACCATGGCCGGGCCGGTCGCTTCCGTCATGCCGTAGGCGTGCGTGACGTGGAAGCCGAGCCGCTCGACGCGCTCGAGCAGCGCGGCAGGCGGCGGGGCGCCGCCCGTGAGCACCTCGACAGCGCGGGGCAGCGGGTCGCGGTGGGCGTCGAGGAGGACGTTGAAGAGCACGGGCGCGACGCACATGTGGGTGACGCCGTGGTCGACGATGGCGGAGTACATGGCGTCCGCCGTCGGCGCGCGGACGCAGACGTTGGCGCCGCCGCGCGCTGCCACGCCCCACGTGAAGGTCCAGCCGTTGCAGTGAAACATGGGGAGCGACCAGAGGTAGACCGGCTCGTGGCCCACGCCCCACTGGAGCAGCAGCCCGACCGTGCTGAGGTAGGCGCCCCGGTGGCTGTACACGACGCCCTTGGGAGCCGACGTGGTGCCGGAGGTGTAGTTGAGCGCGACGGCGTCCCACTCGTCCACCACCTCGCGCGGCGGGTGCCTCGCCGGGTCCCCGCGCGCCACCAGGCCCTCGTACTCCAGCTCGCCCACGCGCACCCCCGTCGGCGCGTCGATGTCGTCGATGACCACCAGCAGCGGCAGGGACGTCGAGGCGACGCTCTTGAGCGCGTCGGTGGCGACACGGATGTACTGATAGTCGACGAACATGAGCTTGGGGGCGGCGTGGCGAAGAATGGCGGCGACGCCGGCGGCGTCGAGGCGGGTGTTGATGGCGTTGATGACGCCTCCAGCCATGGGCACCGCGAAGTGCATCTCGTAGAGCGCGGGCGTGTTGGGCGCGAGCACGGAGACGACGTCGTTCCGGGCGACGCCGAGCGCCTGCAGCGCGGCGGACAGGCGGACGCAGCGATCGTGCGTCTGGCGCCAGGTGAAGGCGGTGCCACCGCAGACGACGGAGGTGCGGTCGGCGTACACGGCCGCTGCCCGTGGCAGGAAGGTGACCGGGCTCAGCGGCACGTGGTTGGCGTCGCGCTTCGGCAGGCGGTCCATGGCCGGTCGATGGATGGATCAGTATTCAGTACTGATTGATTCCTCACGTGTTGGAGGATCGATGGGTGATCTGAGCTGATCCGATCTGGTCTGCGCTTGAGCAGACAACGAGAGATGGAAGCAAGCTAGGAGGAAGAATGGTGGGTGTGTTTGTGTGGAGCGGAGGGGTGGGCCGTTGCTTATTTATAGTGTGTGCGCGGGAGAAATGGGCGTCTCACTCTCTTCATATTCCTAGTAGCTACCACGCGGGTCATAACGAAATTCAAGCTTAAACCGTGACGTGCGTGGAAGTGGAACTGATTGTGTGTGGTAATTTACCCCTCAGGGGTTTTAAACGATTCTTCTTCTTCTTCTTTAAAAAACTTTCGATCATGACAATTAAACAAAGTAACAAACAACAGAAATAATCAAAATTACATCCAGATCTGTAGACCACCTAGCGACGACTATAAGCACTAAAGCGAGACAAAAACGTGTCTCTACCATCGCCCCTCGCATGCCGGAGGCAGACAAAACTTGTTGTGCTAAACAGTCAGAAAGTCGTCGCTAAGGCCCCATTAACTAGAGCAGCAATCGGCGGCAATGAAAAGAAGCGTAGATTGAATGGATCCAACATGAAGACACTTGAATATATACAAACAAAGACCAGATCAAACCAGATCCACCACAATTCCAGTGGGAAAAGAGGGCGAATTCACAACAAATTTGTGATGAGAAAAAGACAAAGAGCCAGTACTCACCGTTTGTTTTGTTTATTGAATATAAAAAGGCGCATACGAGATCATATCACGTTTATATTGCTTTGAAGTTCCCGTGGCATTCATAAGAAGTTCCCATGGCATGATAGGTTTCTTTAGTTATGCGTCAATTTTGAGAAAGAAAACAAAACACAAGTGTATCTTATCCTCGGTCGTACGACCGTATGCATTTGTTTCCCGCACACATGGATCACGTACGGCCCGGGCGCCCACCTTCCTTCCTTGAGCATGAAAGTACACGACCACTATGCACACAACAAAGAAAAAAAAACTATGATAGTATAAAAAAAATGATCTTATACTATTTTAGAACGGTGGAAGTATAATGAATATATTCATACACGCTCATTTCTGCAAGTCCGACACATGTACATTTCCGTTCATTGTTAAATAAGCTAGAGGGCTGTTCGCAAAAAAAACTACAAGGTAGGGCCGTCCTCAGGTATTTGGGGGCCCGGGGCGAAAGGCGAAATGTGGCCCTAAATTTTGAAAATTCTATATAACTAAAACATACTCTCATCTAGCAATTCGGTGTAATATTTTGAATTTATCATAAATTGATCCTAATAGAGTAAAGGTGATACAATACATGTAATAAAAACTAACCTAAAAGCAAAACGAAAACTATAATTCAAACAATACATGCATGAGTTATAAGCTTATCATTTATTGCGATATAAGAAAGTAAAATCAGACCGTACCTTTAAATTTGAATGAGAAACTATGTCGAAATTTTAGATGACCGAGTAGCTATCTCCAAAAATAGTTCTTGCAATCCAGGTAAAGTTTAAACTTTTGACTGTGAAGCATAAGAGAATTTGTTATTTATCAATCAGGCCGAAGTACAATGGCTAATGCTCAGCTTATTAACTATCAATGTGATCATTTTCTGTACCGAAATTTTGAGGACAAATAGCGTATCTGCATATGTATGATTGTTAAGGAGTACCCACCTTGATTTTTGGATCAGAAGATGCAGAGTTGTTCCCAGTTTCTATATCCAAGAATCAAAATTCAGAACCCTATTATTTGAAGCAAATCGAGCCAGATCTGAAAAAATTAGGCCTCGGACATTCACGTGGGGATGCTTGAGGTAATTAGCCAACTAGCATGCACCATCCATGGCGTCCAGCGACGACCAGTGAGATAGGAGGAGAACTAGACGAGGACGACGACGGGAGGGCGAGCAGCACAAGCGCTCAGATCTGTGGACGGAATCCTAGTCGTAACATGTGATCAGGCGAGGCGGCTGCGAGTACTGCGAGATGGGCAACAGGCGAGCCATGTGCTGATCAGATAACCTGATCGGGCCACCAGGCTTTGTATGTTTCTAGTGATTCAGGGGCCCCAAAAAATCGAAGGCCCTGTGCAGTCGGCCCACTTGGCCTCTGCCTTATCGACAGGCCTGCTAGAGGGCACTAGCCCCGTGCTGGGAGGCGCGGCATCGCCACACACAAACGCTGAAACACCACACATGGCTGTTAAGATCAAAGCGAGTAAAATAGGGTGACATAAGCGGACGCGCATTTTTGAGACATGCGGCTACACGATGCTGGAATCTCGTTCGTCCGTGCGCCCATCGCGATTGCTACTTATTATAGCCCCTTTCCAATACCTAACACATTAATCGCCAGCATTCGCGAATACGTGGTGCTATACACCCGGCAGTGGACCAGACGGCATTTATGTTCGTATGGATACAGGCTTGTTTGCTAGCGCCCACGTCACTATTTTGGAGATGGCATAACTGCTCTTCGACGCTAGGCACACATCATTAAGCACGCGCGCTAGAGGCTCGTACTGTTCATCTTCTCCAAGCTCCCCGTGGAGAAACAAAGACGGAAGAGGAGATGGGTTCTACGCACATGGGGTAGCCCCTTGAAGGCTGGAAATCCCTGCGTGATCTGTTATCCTTGTTTTATTTCTCTACAAAGCAACATGCCCACCTGCAATCATCTCTCCCTTGCTGGGTGCCATCATGGGGTACAGGGGCAGCTGGGTGTAATTGATGAGCGCACGGATGTTTAATTTGCCATAATGCTGGCTGTCCATTGCTGAATTATTGCCGATGGTTGGGTGTGGTGCACACGCGGTGTGGTATTAATGACGTCCCTGCATGTTGGTGTATTTTCATTTGTTTTGTACGGTATCTCGCGAGTAGAGTAAAACTGTATCACGACTTGCGTTAATGCTCCATGCACACAACCGTTGGAGTTGTATTATTGATAGGCCAGCATGTGCTCGCAAATACACATATACCACACAGGAAAACAAATACACATGGAAACTACAGCAATCCCATCACATAAGAGAGCATCTTCAGAGTTTGTTCATGAAGATCATGGCCATGAGGAGCAGGTTCACAATGCCGAGGATGAAAATTGAAAATGTTCCTCAACCATGCTTGATTATGTTGAAGAAGTGAAACATGGCCATAGACCGATGCAAATGTGAAATCATATGTCCCCAACGCGGAACTTAATGCTGAGGTACTACTGGGAAGTGGCAGCATTGACAAGCAAGCTGGAACTTAAAAAAGGCCGTGAGGAGCATGGTGCAGCTAGCCATTGGGACTGATGGACACGCGCCTGAATTCAATGCCCGGGCCTGCCCTGCGGGCCCTCTCCCGTAGATGTCAGGTGCAAATATGTGGGCTATACCAAATGATATACGGATGGTGGGAGACGTTATACCGGCCATAAATATTCGAGTTGCATGAATCACATGGCAACATGCGGTGTGGATTTCGGCATCGCGTGGCCGCAATGTCCACTCGCGATTATTCGACATAAGCAGGCTATAAGGACTAAAATATTATATCTTTACTAAGTTGAATGAGAGAGAATAGAAGAGAGAGAAAAAGCAGGCTATAACATAAGAGCGTGCTATAGCACGAGACCCAAGACAGTTTGTAAGATTGTAACGTGGGCCATCTACTACTGAAGTAGTACATATTTAAAACTTACTATTATACAAGCCGGTTGAATATCTGGTGCTACGGGAGCACACCTCACATTAGGTGCTCCCAATTTTGAAAATGCATATTTAAATGTTTTAGAAAATTCCAAAAAAAATTTGTGGATGTTAGCATCACATGAATGTACAACCCCTAAAAGTTTCAAATCAAAATTCGAAATACACAATGAAAAACAAAAAAGACAAATCATGTATAAATGCTTTGCGGAAAACCCTCCAAACATTCCTGAAATGACACTTTGGTCCACATCACGTGATGCTGTCCATTCGATCTCATATCAACGGCCGTAGCACCAGATATTTCCCTGTAAAAGCCAATTATTAGGTTGACTCTAGGTGCATGACAACTTTTTATAGTCGACTGTTGGCTGCATTATTAATCATGCTCTCAGCAAGATTGGTGCCTCGAGCTAACCACGTCCATTCTGCTCAACGTACTCTCTATATGTGTTTCTAATTCATGCATGGTTTCAAGCGTTCAACTCCATTCGTTTTTGAAAGAAAACACACACACAGAGACAAAACACACACACACACAAAACACCCCTGTGCAGGCACGCATACACACGTATGCTTAACGGCGGGCGCGCACACACTGACGCTTGATGCATGTAGGCACGACCGGAACGGCAATCCACTCGTTCTGTCAAACTCCCAATTAGTATGTGTTTTTTAATGGTTTCAACTGTCCAAGTCGTTCAACTCGACGTGTACGAGACCGACCGAATATAGTAATCTTTTCCAGTCTCACCTGAATGAATTCCTCGGACGACCGTGAACGAAAATGCAAGAGGTACGTAGCCAAACGGTTTATTTAACCGCTGGATCGACCGCTCGCACGGCCGTGCTATATATTGACGGTGTCGCCCCCACGTGCCGTCGACGAGGGCCGGCCAGCCGTGGTTGTTGAAGATGGTGAAAAACGAAAGGACCGCCTATACCTCAGGTTCCGGGGGAAAGAACAGTCGTTCGTTGAATATCTCAACCGTTGGATGCAAAATGAAAAGTTTCTTTTTTAATATCCCATCCGTTGGATGCAAAATGAACAGTTGGATGACTGTTTTCAACCTCTCGGCCGTTTTATTCTCGCCTCTACTTAAGAGCATCTCCAACAGGCGCCAAACGCGCGGCACACTAAAATCTGGTTTACGACGCGCTCATCGTCAGGTTTGGCGCGGCGCGCAGCGCTGGCTCCAGCAGCCGCGCTAAACTGCAGCACGAGCACGTAGCTCCAGTAGGCGCGCTAAAATGCAGCGCGCGCTCTCG